TGAATAACTTAACTTTCATAACAAATGCAGTTTAGATTTAGTTCTGTGTTTTAATTATTTAATGCAAAACTAGTAACAAGTAGCTCTTGTGTAGTATTTCTCCCCTCCTATATATCAAATGCTTTAACAAAAATGGTAAGAATGAGAGCTCTAAGGGAACGTTTTGTCAACTTTTTTGGGTCAGAACTGATTTTAATTAATTAATTAATTAAATTTTGTGGATATGTATCCGATTTGATGAAATGTTTGGGAAGATTTCAGCTCAGAACGAAAGAGACTCCCGACAGTAGCCAATAGACCAGGGGAAAGGGCACTTACCTAAACCTGAGTCTCCCACCACAGTGTTTCTGTAATTATTTGTGCTAAGTGGAACAGCTCCAACAAGAGAGATTGAGAGAGACTGACCCTATATCTTAGTGGTTAGGGCACTCACTTGGGAGGTGGGAGACCCAAATGGGGCAGAGCAGGAATGAGCATCTTGGTCTCCCATATCCCAGTGAGTGCCTGAATACCTGGATTATTGACTATTCTAATTGGAAAGATTTAGGTTTCATTCCAATATGGAATAAAACAAATGTTGAAATTTCAAAACTCTTCACAAAATGTAAACCTTGTTTTCCAGCTAGCCCTAGTGAGCATTATTTCCATTTTACAAATGACAACACAGAGGCAGAAAGGTTAAGCAGCTTGCTAGAGGCTGGATGGTGCATCATTATCAGGTCTCAGAATAGAAACCAAATTTCCTGATCTATCCACTTGACCATAATGCCATCCTGAAATTTTTATTAGCCTGTTTATTGAACAGACATATACTACTCAAGTAGTTCTGAGAACCTAGTGATGAGCTTGTTTGTTTTATTGTATATTATGGTGTAAACAAATGATGGATTGCACTTTTCATGGTTTTTCAGTCATTTGATCATCTAAAGTCTTGAAATCATACTTTCCTTAAAATGTCAGTGCTAATTAAAAAAATTTCAGCAATGACCAATAGGTCAATTAAATTTGTCTGAAAGTGTGTGTGTGTGTGTGTGTGTGTGTAAACAAAAAAGCCTCCATCAAAAGTGAAGGGTATGAAAACTGCCAAGCGTTACTTCAAGTCTCCAGTACAGTAAGACAGAAAAAGCTATTACAGTTGTGTGTGTGTGTGAGAGAGAGAGAGAGAGAGCCTTTTAATACATGTATTGACATAAATAATAACTGCTCTTTTGGGGAGTCTGTTCTATTGTCTTGCAGCCTGGTTGAAAAATATTATCCACAGATTCTTCATTCTTTTATTATAAAGATACTTGACATGATAGCTTTCAGTGCTGCTCTTACAGCCGTTTGATTCCTGCAGATGCTGCGGCCCTCCCTCCCCCACACTAAATCAATCATCATCTTTTTAATATTGATGAAGAATCACCAAACACTCAATACAGTCACTTTCTAAAACAGAGTATGCCAACTTCATCCCAAACCCATCGCAGTTCATTGACTTTAATTGAGCTAGCTCTTGGGTGAATGTGGGTCAATCATAGAATATCAGGGTTGGAAGGGACCTCAGGAGGTCATCTAGTCCAACCCCCTGCTCAAAGCAGGACCAATCCCCAACTAAATCAAAACTGTGTGTGTGTGGGCGGGGGGAGAGAAGGGTTGTTTGTTTTATAAAATAGTCAAAAACACTGGGCCAAATTAATCTCTGGCATCATTCCACTAAGAGGGAATAACAAATTATACTGAATGGAATGATACCAGGGATGAACTTGGCTCAGTGACTAGAAATTATCAAGGGACAGCTCCTTAGCTTGTAGCTCCATTTGGTTTTTTTAACTCATCTGTTCCTAGGTTCAGTGATAAAAACATCTGAAACTAATACGCTTTGTTTAAAAAGGAGTACTTGTGGCACCTTAGAGACTAACAAATTTATTAGAGCATAAGCTTTCGTGAGCTTCAGCTCACTTCATCAGATGCATTCAGTGGAAAATATAGTGGGGAGATTTTATATACACAGAGAACATGAAACAATGGGTGTTACCATACAGACTGTAACAAGAGTGATCAGGAAAGGTGAGCTATTAACAGTAGGAGAGCAGTGGGGTGGGGGGAGGAAGATAGCCTTTTGTAGTGATAATCAAGGTGGGCCATTTCCAGCACTTTACAAGAACAGTAGGAGGGGAAATAAATAAGGGGAAATAGTTTTACTTTGTTTAATGACACATCCACTCCCAGTCTTTATTCAAGCCTAAGTTAATTGTATCCAGTTTGCAAATTAATTCCAATTCAGCAGTCTCTCCTTGAAGTCTGTTTTTGAAGTTTTTTTGTTGAAGAATTTGGGGACAATGTATACCTTCCAATCAGCGGCACTGCTATGGGTACTCGCATGGCCCCACAGTATGCCAACATTTTTATGGCTGACTTAGAACAACGCTTCCTCAGCTCTCGTCCCCTAACGCCCCTACTCTACTTGCGCTACATTGATGATATCTTCATCATCTGAACCCATGGAAAAGATGACCTTGAGGAATTCCACCATGATTTCAACAATTTCCATCCCACCATCAACCTCAGCCTGGACCAGTCCACACAAGAGATCCACTTCCTGGACACTATGGTGCTAATAAGCGATGGTCACATAAACACCACCCTATACCGGAAACCTACTGACTGCTATTCCTACTTATATGCCTACAGCTTTCATCCAGACCACACCACACGATCCGTTGTCTAAAGCCAAGCTCTACGATAAACTGCATTTGCTCCAAACTCTCAGACAAACAACTACAAGATCTCTATCAAATGTTCTTACAACTACAATACCCACCTGCTGAAGTGAAGAAACAGATTGACAGAGCCAGAAGAGTACCCAGAAGTTACCTACTACAGGACAGGCCCAACAAAGAAAATAACAGAACGCCACTAGCCATCACCTTCAGCCCCCAGCTAAAATCTCTCCAACGCATCATCAAGGATCTACAACCTATCCTGAAGGATGACCCATCACTCTCACAGATCTTGGGAGACAGGTCAGTCCTTGCTTACAGACAGCCCGCAACCTGAAGCAAATACTCACCAGCAACCGCACACCACACAACAGAACCACTAACCCAGGAGCCTATCCTTGCAACAAAGCCTGTTGCCAATTGCGTCCACATATCTATTCAGGAGACACCATCATAGGGCCTAATCACATCAGCCACACTATCAGAGGCTCGTTCACCTGCACATCTACCAACGTGATATATGCCATCATGTGCCAGCAATGCCCCTTTGCAATGTACATTGGCCAAACTGGACAGTCTCTACGTAAAAGAATAAATGGACACAAATCAGAAGTCAAGAATTATAACATTCAAAAGCCAGTCAGAGAACACTTCAATCTCTTTGGTCACTCGATTACAGACCTAGATGTGGCAACAAAAAAACTTCAAAAACAGACTTCAAGGAGAGACTGCTGAATTGGAATTAATTTGCAAACTGGATACAATTAACTTAGGCTTGAATAAAGACTGGGAGTGGATGTGTCATTACACAAAGTAAAACTATTTCCCCTTGTTTATTTCCTCTCCTACTGTTCTTGTAAAGTGCTGGAAATGGCCCACCTTGATTATCACTGCAAAAGGTTCTCCCCCCCTCCCGGCCCACCAGCTCTCGTGCTGTTAATAGCTCACCTTTCCCGATCACTCTTATTACAGTCTGTATGGTAACACCCATTGTTTCGTGTTCCCTGTGTATATAAAATCTCCCCAATGTATTTTCCATCGGATGCATCCGATGAAGTGAGCTGTAGCTCACGAAAGCTTATGCTCAAATAAATTTGTTAGTCTCTCAGGTGCCACAAGTACTCCTTTTCTTTTTACGGATACAGACTAACACGGCTGCTACTCTGAAACCTGACACTTTATTTAGTGTGTATAACGTAATTTGTCCCTCCCCACACCCAAACTGCTGCTGTAGAAGAAACTTTTTATCAAGAATTGCATCTAGTGACTTTCTAAAGGCTGTTTTTTATTAACCCAAGGAAAAAACAGTATTTGTATTCAGAACCCCAGTCATGGGCCAGGATCCCACTGTGCTGTACAGTCAAAGATGGTCCCTGTCCCAAAAAGCTTGCAGTCTAAATAGACAAGACAAACACGAGTAGGGAAGGGGGTCTAACACATAGGCAGCATGAGCAGTGTGATGGCAGCAAATGGCATGTTAGTGCCATGCTTTTGGGGAGGGAGGGTCATGTTTAGTTAGGTGGACATAAGCTGCAGGGAAAGGATGGAGAAGAGGTGAAGAGACTTGAGGGATGGGGAGGGTTGGAGCAAATAGCCAATTAGCACAGGGCAGAGAAAGTCCAGTCAAAACTTAGAATGTTTTCTAGTTTCATTCAGCAATATCTCTGTTCAGTAACTGTAATGACTTCTATTGATGTGAAATAAATAAACAAACATGTTGTGCTTGCTGTACACATGAGCCCATGCTTATATTTTCCATTTTTTATTAAAAGTGACAATCAGAATCCCATCTCACCCATCTGTCATGAATAAAGGAGAAGTACAGTGCCACAATTATCCAAAGCATTGGAGATACAGCCTTTCTATAACATGCTATAGTAGAATATAAATGAGGTTGAATGTTTCATTTCCAATTATAGCGAATATTTGACCTATAAGAGAATAGTATATTCTACTTCAGGTTAACCTAATGGTTTGTTCAGGACTGTGAATGATAAACACATTAATGGTTTTTAAATCAATTTGAATTTTGTGTTGCTCTGTCTACGCATTTTTCCATGCAATGTAGAAGCTAAATAAGTGGCATAGCTGAGAAGCTTTTATTGGGCATGCCCAACATCTGTTATGCTATGTAATAATAGTCACTGTTTAGCAGACAACGGTTCTAATGGAATTGTCACACCCGTAGAAGTTTCTGAAATAAGCAGCCTTATTGCCACAAAAGTCACTTCAAAGACTGGTACAAAAAACAATAACGTAGTTCTCCCCTTATGGTAAAGAAACACAGAGACAATATGGTTACCTTTACAGCTTGCATATTTATTGAGCAAATCCTACTAAAATAGCTAAAATACATTGGGTACTTGCAGTGCATTATTATAGATCACACTGTTACAAAAGCCTGCATTTTCAACAGTACACAATTGCAACTATACATAAATGACACAACTGCTGAGTACTGTTTCTTGCTCTATATACAGCACAGTTGATGCATCTAATCTATTGGAAAAGAAAACTTACAAGAAAGGGAATAAGGGGGGGTGGGGAGGAGAACCTAAGCAGTGTCGTGCATGCATTGGTATTTAACAGTCAAAAGGTAAAACAGTTCAGAACAAGGCCTGCCCTGTAAAAGGAAGAGCTAAAAGACAGAGTTATATAAAAAAATTAAGGTGGGCTTTCAGACTGTGTCTAACACAACAACATTCCATGAGTAGATGGTACTGGGGGTTTTTTCTTTTCTTAATACCCTGGGAGCAAGAACAAAAATGTAAAATCTACACTTTGATGACACTGAAATATACTCTTTGCCTTTTATAAGAGTGTTTCCTTTTGAAGTTTTAAGAAAAAAAAAATCACTGTTTCATCCCTACCACATCACGTATTTTATGAGGATTTTAAAAAGTGCCCTTTTTTTTTCCTCCAAAAAAGCCTTCCCTCCCCCACCCCCAAAAGTATAAGAGACTTCCAAAGACTATTGGAAACTTATTGCTCATCTTTTTCTAAGTTATGTGGACAGGATACAGAAAGGAGACTGACTTAAATTACAGTTTTGTGATTGCTCCCACTACAGGTTGCATGTCTGTGAGCGTACCCTGATCCGGAATCAGTCCCTCACTTTTACTCTAAGTAGTTACTCACCCTACAACACTTAATAAGAAAGCCACACTGAAGACACAAGAAACAAGTCAGTCCCATCTAAAGAACAACATTCAGGAAAACAAAGTACCAACACCTTCTCAGAACATGGAAATAAAAAATAACTCCATCAGAGCTACCTTGCCAAGGAGCATGTTTAAAGTCCAAAATAGCACCATTCATCAGTGTCTCAAATCCCGTGGCAGCATCTCAATCACTTACCACAAGGAAACCATGAGTTTCATACTACTTCTATACATCAAAAGAGTACATGGATAAAATATAGAGATATACAGACAATTGATGAAAATAAACTACTAGGCTTGTTACATCTAAATGGGGTGGGGGGGAGGGGAAAAGAGGGACTCTCAGCCTCTGCAAGAAGCAGTTAGGAATGGTGGAAATGGAGAGGCGGCAGTTTACCGGTTGCATGTCAGCGGTGGAGTTTGAGTAGTGGAAGACGTTGTGGCAGAACCAGGCCTGAAGGCCCACCTGTAATGTTGGTAAACATGGATTCACAGTGTGAAATTCTGAGAGCTTTTACTTGAGTCAGAATGTTAAAAACTGTTTGTATGATACACATTTATCCACTGTAATTCTCTAAAGCAAGGCTCAGAGTCCCATAGTTTCTTCTTATACTTGATGATTTACACAGAAACAATTCCCGATATATGACACCATGACCTCATCAACACCCATATACCATATGTAATACAAATGGAGGAATTATGATTAAAAAGAGTAGAGGTAATTGATTTCAGTGAAATGATATCCATAGCCATTTGCTGGAGTCAGGAACGCAGCTTCAGTCTCATTGTTCTTCTTGCGATTAACTTCCTTTGGGATAGTAAGATTTCCCTGCACGGGAGGAAAGAAAAATAGTTAGCTGTACTTCTACGAAAGCTGTTAAATGTATTTCTCTCTCTCCCCATCGCCCCCTTATATCCTTGGACTTTTATAGCCTTGTAAATGTGGTTTACATATTAAACACAGTCTACTCAAATATAAATATCAGATCCATAGAAGGAAAAGGATTGTTTAAACAACTCCAGAAGCCTTGAAGTTTCTAGTTGGAATTTTCATGTCTGTTTTATTTTTAGCTGGGCCAGTGTGTCCTGCAGACTCATAAGACTAAGTTAACAAAAACACCTCTAAAGGCCAGGTGGTGGAATTCAGTCCTTGGCCCACACAGGTTGGAGCCAGTGCAGAATCAACCCATCCCAGGAGGAGCTTGGGGGGAGGGAGGTGGGCTTGTGCTTTAGGAGCCATAATCCTTCCTTCGACTCCTCACAATGCTCAGGAAGTGCACACACTACACTGTTACCCTTCAAAATGGTGCAATCTGTTCCCCGACCCCAACTCACCCAGCTAATTCTGTGGGCTGGTTGCACAAAGGGTCTCTCCTCCCTGTCCATCTCTGGGGGAGTTTTTGGCCCTGGAGGCCTAGTAAGGAGAAGTCCCTTTGCTTTACCGACTGCAAACCAGCCTTGTGCAGGTGGGTATAAAGAGATGGGGAAGATGAGTCTGCAAATGCACCTACGCAAAACCTGAGGGCAATCTAGGCCTAAAGCTGCATGTGCACATCTTGCACATCTGTTAGCACACAGAGACATTTGCATAATTAAATATGGTTGCCAGATGGCTAAATACCTGATTTTTCTCTCTCTGACACATACCCAAATGCAGGCTCTGTGTGTGTGTGCAAACAATGATGCATTTGAAATTTGTGGGCATAAATTTACAGACTGGATTGAGGCGACTGTGAAAAATCTAACTCACAATGTTTACACTAAATACATCTCAGGTAGATTGCTTCCTGACAGCACTGTGCATGTACTTGTTGAAACCCATAAACTGAGAGCACAGAAAATGAACATTAATGAGTTTGTCTACCAATTGTTTTTTTTAACCCCAGGCTCCATTTTTATGCTACATGTAGTTTGGTGCACAGAAAACCTGTCTGAATTATAAAAGATCACAAAGTTAGTGTAATGTACCTTTTAGAGCTTAGGGCTTTAAAATGGGCTATTTCTTTAGACAGCTGGTACTTACTAATGAATGTTTTTCCTGTAATACTTTACTGAAAAAAACATTTACCCTTCTCCAACAGGCCCAGGGAATGGCAATATACCATACTGTCACTGAGTCTGTGCTAATAACGTGGTGCAGTATTAGTGAACTATCTAGGCTGGTTTTCAGTAATCACATCCCAAATATTTAAACATCCCAATAATTAGCCCCAAATCACTAAATCATTTAAGTATGTGCTTAAAGTTAAGCATGTAATTAAGCATTTTGCTGAATAGTGATGGACTGCCAAATGGGACCTTAAAATGTAAATCCTGTAAAATTAGTAACATGACACTTGTGGGCAGAATGTTAATGGTTGTTAGAAATGACATAAAAAAATCTGTGTTTTGCTTTGTTGTGGTTTTTTTTAAAAAGAGAACTAAAGTGAAAATATGATTGAGCCTTATCAATTAGGAGACGCATACTGATCAGTTTAAAAGAAAAATATATTGTTTACTTAAGAAATCTGAGTCCCTTCCTAATATATTGACTGCCCAGCCAGAGTCCGCGACCCCTCTTGCGTCTCAACCCCGTCCCAGGTTGGAACCCCCTCCCACACCCCAACACCCTCCAGGAGCCCTCACCCCCTTGCACACCCAAACTCCCTCCTTCAGCCTGCACTCCAGCCCTGAGCCCCCTCCCAGAGCCCGCACCACAACTCCCTGCCCCAGCCCTGAGGCCCCCTGCCCCCAACCTCCCTCCCGGAGCCCACACCCCACACCTCCTCCCCAGCCCAGTGAAAGTGAGTGAGGGTCAGGGAGAGCAAGCAACGGAGGGAGAGGGGATGGAGTGAGTGGGGGCAGGGGGCAGGACAAGGGTGTTCAGTTTGGTGCAATTAGAAAGTTAGCAACCCTAGAGGGTGGTGAAGTGGATATAACTAGGTGTAAGGGGGGGGGGGGGAGAGGATATGCATTGATCAGAGGCTTCTGTTAGGGCATGTGCTGGGAGCAGCAATGCAGCCAATCTGCAGCTTGCGGGACTGGAGCTCCTCCTGTCTCCCCTTCCCCAAGACCTCATGGAACAATCTCTGACCCAAGACTGGCTACCTGGGCTTGGTGGAGAAAGGATCATTTTACCCTGTCCTTTCTGGAGCAGAAATGGGAGTTTTGCCTGGGAGAGAACTTCAGAACTAAGCATGGCTTGTTGAGCTCCAGTTACTAAACACACACTTTCTTCCACTTAACTGAAACCCCAACTGCACTAATATTTTTGCTTTTTTGTTGACTAATTTGTTACTTATGTATTATCACAAGAGATGGGAAGAAAACTAGAAACTTACACATGCAAAAACACACACAGACCAAAGATCTGGGCATGTTTCCAGAAGCTTTGTGTTGGGCAGTTCCTTTTCAGCTGTGAAAACAATCTCAGTCCTGAAATTCTGCCATATAATCATAAAGTAGAAAATCCCATGTGACCCTTCTGGGTCTGGAAATACATCCTCTCTATTTAATATAGCCTGTATACTTGCTTGTTCCATGAGAAAGAAAAGGTCTCTTTTTCTGCAATTATGAGTTCAAAAATCTGTTCACTTTATTATTATTCTTTCATTATTTCAGGCTGTTTGGGATTAGTAAAGAGTTCATAAAGCTGTTAAACTGAAGATGACTGTGACTAACTTTATAAACCTGATGTAAGAATTAGATTCCAAATACACTTTGTTTCCGTTGAATCTCATACTGTGCAGGAAGACAGGCTATACATATAAATATTCATTTTAGTTTTGAGACTTTGTTATCAAAACAAACTTGGAGATAGTTCTAAATATTGATCCTCCCAAGTATTCAAAAATATCTTTTGAAGCTGCAGATAAAGATAGTGCAAATGCACCCCAGTGGAAAAGCAGGGACACAATAGAGTTAAGATGGAAAATAAATAAAATTTAATAGTTCTGGCTATCTCAAAAATCTTAAGCAATTTTGGTAACTTTTTTAAGGCTATGTTTCCATACTACAGGCATCGAATAAGAACTCCAGTTATTCACAAGTCCAGGGGCAATGAAAGGATTGTTCTTTCATTGACCTAGTCACACTTCAATTTTGTGCTGCAGGACCAACTTGTATAAATGTGGATAGAGGGGTTCAGGACAACAATGTTCACAATGAAGACTGCCAACTGAGACAGTATGACTACAACAGTTGTGTGATCTGCAACGGCTTTCTATTAGAGATTATGAAATTACTAAAAATTCATTTAATTGAGAGACAAGGTGGGTGTGGTAATATCTTTTTAACTGGACAAACTTCTCTTAGTGAGAGAGACAAGCCTTCAAGCTTACACAGATATTATTTCACCCACCTTGTCTCTCTAATATCCTGGCACTTACCTGGCTACAGTAACACTGCATAAATCATTTCATGTAAATGTGGCCAAGCTATGAAAAAGTAGATCTTCACGTACCAACTCCACCTTAACCTAGCATTGCTACTGGCCTACTTGATGAACTTTTGACAGTATTTTGAGTGCCAATAATGGTAACGTCTGTCCCTGTACTAGCTTACTGCCACATATCTTAATTTTAAGAGATGCAAGCTCACACATAAAGACAGTCTGCAAATCTCATAAGTGGAAGGGAAGTCTAATGAATTTTATACTTTCCTCAAAAAAGCATGGAAATTGTGCTATTATCCAGATGGGACAGCAGAGTTTTGTTCACAGGAATTCTCAGTCTAGATAGTAACAAACATAATCTAAACAGTTTTCCACTTTGCTTACTTGCCAACTTTACTGCCAGATTTTGAGTCATTAGCAAACAAGGATCTGGGAATGAAACAAATATGTTCTCTGGTTTTTGAATAACTGTTTCATTTTGCTCCTCAAATTTCTTATCCAATTATGAGTTTACCACGCTTGTTACAGAGTAAAATCACTTAAATCCTGCAAGATATACCACACTTTCCGTATTTGTGTTAACATACTTACTGATTCTCAAACACAACTTTAGTCAAACTGTGCAACTTTCATTTAAGGCAGGTAAGACATGAGTTCAAAACCCTGACAGATGCAAAAAGAAATTTTCTCCTCTTTTATTACCGTTTATAACCACTCCTGATAGTTGAATCTTTCTTTTAATAAGTTGCTATTCCAACATTACCAACACCAAGCATTAAAAAAACCTCATGAGACTAGCTTAAAAAACATGACTTTAATAAATTTTGGGTTCTTTTTATTTGCCTTCTAGTTTTCAAGCTATTCTCTGCAACCATGAAGGTTAGAACGTTTTAATTTCTCTATGAAAGCTGAGATTCTCATGTAATTACCTGACTCAGAATTGGGGCTTTAAGAAAAACACTGACCATCATAAAATGACTCACGATAAAACTGTAAGAGTTGGCAATAGCTTAAGCCACGGTTTCTCAACCATTTTTGAATCATACCCCACCTAACGTTATTTTTTTCTATGGAGCCCCAACCCTTCCAATAGTGAAAAAGCCAAATTTGAGTGGTGGTGTGATCCCATGCGCCATGTTGCAACACCACTCACTCCAATTTGGCCTCGCTGCCCTTCTGTTATGATGGAAGGGCAGCTGGGCCAAATCTGAGTGAGTGGCGTTGCAACCTGGCATTTGGATCCTCCTCCCCTGCAATTTTATTACAACTACTGAATTATTAGAATGCTTTTTGCATGCTATCACTATCCCCCATCCCACCCTGGTTGAGAACCTCTGGTTTAAATAATCTTAAATTAAACCTAATGAATAAGGCTAAGATTTTGTCATGGTTATTTTTAGTAAAAGTCATGGGCAGGTCATGGGCAATAAACAAGCCGAGACCTGTTAGTGGCTTTTGTTGCTACGGCTCCATGGTTTCCCCTGCCACAAGGTGGCTGGGAGCTGCAGGGTTCTCTCCCTGTCCTCACCCTCACCCCCAACCCAAAACCTGCAGGGGGTCCCTGAAATGGCTGTCGCCTGTCACTGGAAGCCTGCCAGGGCCCCACTGGCTGCCAGCTCCAGTCCTGCAGGTTGAAGCAGAAAATGTCACCGAGGTCTCTGGAAGTCATGGTTTCCGTGACATAAATATAGCCTTACTAATGAACTTTCACAATCCCATATTTGTATAGAGCTTGCAAGCTTAGTAAATTGTGCATCTTTACATGAGAGAAAATGAGTAAAGGACAATTATGGAAATAGCCTTACCTTAGGAAATCCTCCATCCCCTTGGCTAGTTGGGAAGAGTTCCTGGCTGACCCAAATTGTTAACCTTGGCTGATACACCTGGTGGAACATAAATGTATACATTTATGTTGTATTAAGGAGAGAAGTTTACCATGCCATCACATGGCATTCATGTGACACATTTCATTAGTACAACACTGAAATTGAACTTCTGGAAGTCTTGCCTCAGAGACAAGAGCCAGATTCTGTTCTCCGTTACACCACGGTAAATCCAAGAAACTCCACTGGAGTTAGTGTACATTTGGATTAAGCAGAATCTGCCCCTAGAGTACCTTAAGTATATTGTATGTATCACTTTGTGTAGAAGATGATGTTCCATTTGTCACTCCAACGGTGTTCTTTTGTGTGGGAGAGCAGCAAGAGAATGGAGACACCAAAAGATATGATAGCCATAACAGTAATATGGCTTTATTGGCATTTGGCTAAAGCAACTGTGTACATGAATTTCCTGCAAATGAAAGCCTATGGCATCATTCATCACATGCTATGTGGTGCACCTCTCTTTCCCCCTAGCCATATGGGCTTGGGGAAGAAAGAAATTCCGCGAGCAGGCAGCCCTGGGATCTAGAGAAAGTCTCAAGCTAGCAGGCACAAAGATCAAGATGCAATTTCCGCAGCTATTGTAAAATTAAAAAAATAACAAATGGAAGGAAGGGGAGGTTGATAGTAATGAGTATGAATCAGAAGCTAGTAACCGTAGTACACTGATAAGGGAAACAAAGGGACGAAAGGATAAATCTATGGTCAGCGAAGTTAAGGACAATAGGAAGGAGTTTAAGTACATTAGGAACAAAAAGAAAGAATCCTAACAATGGTAATGGTTCATTACAAGATGGAAATGGGAAGAAATTATAAATAATAATCCAGAAAAGGCAGAAGTGTTCAATAAATATCTGTTCTATACTTGAGGAAAAAAGATGTCATCACATGATAAAACTCTTTCCATTTCACTAGTATCTAGGGAGGATGTTAAACAGCAGCCATTAAAGTTAGACATGTCCAATGGTCCAATTTGAATTCAAGAGTTTTAACAGAGCTGGCTGAGGAACTTGCTGGACCATTAATGTTGTCTTTCAGTAAATCTTGGAACACTGGAAAAAAGTTTCACAAGACTGGAAGAAAGCTAACATTGTGCCAATATTTAAAAAGGGTAAATGGTATGACCATTATAGGCCTGTCAGTCTGACACTGATCCTGGGCAAGATAATAGACCAGCTGATATGGGACTCACAGTAAAAATTTAAAAGGAGGTAATATAATTAATGCAAATCAAAATGGGTTTATGAAAAATAGTTAGATTCTATCAAACTTCATATATTTTTGATGAGATTACAAATTTGGTTGATAAAGGTAATAGTAATGACATAATAGTCTTATACATTTGACTTGGTACCACATAACATTTTAATTTAAAAAAAACAAAACAAAACAAAACCTAAAATGATAAAATCTACATGGAAATATTAAATGGATAAACAAGCTAACTGACAGGTCTCAAAATTTAATTATAAACGGAATCATCACCATTAAGTGTGTGTGTTTCTAGTAGGTCTCTCAGGGATTGGTTCTTAGCTCCTATGCTATTTAACACTTATCAATGACCTGGAAGAAATCATAAAATCATCATTGATCGTTTCCACGTAAGTTGGGGGAGTGGTCTATAATGATTAGGACAGGTAACAGATAACAGAGTTATCTGGACTCCTTGGTAAGCTGGGCACAAGCAAATAATGTTTTTTAATATGGCTAAATGTATACATCTAGTAACTAAGAATGCTGGCTATACTTGCAGTATGGGGGGCTCTATCCTGGAAAGCAGTGACTCTGAAAACGGTTTTGGGGTCATGGTGGATAATCAGCTAGCCATGATCTCTCAGTATATACTATGGGCACAGGGCTAACACAATCCTGGGATGCATAAATGGAGGACTCTTGAGTAGGAGCAAAGAGATGATCTGACCACTGCATTTGGCACTGCTGTGACCGCTGCTGGAATACTGTGTACAGTTCTGGTCTCTACAATTCAAAGAGAATACGGATAGGAGAAGGTTCAGAGAAGAGCCAAAAGAATGAGTAAAAGATTAGAAAACATGCCTTATGGGATAGACTCAAGGAATTCAAATTATTCAACTTAACACAGAGAAGGTTAAGGATTGACTTGAATACATTCAGTAAGTACCTACTAGGGAACAAATACTTGATCTAGCAGAGAAAAGTTACAACACGATCCAATGACTAGAAGTTGAAGCTAGACAAATTCAGACTGGAAATAAGGTATAATTTTTTTTTTTTTTTTTTTTAGAACAGAGAGGGTAATTAAGACCCCCTATTACACGGATGCATCAAGTCTGTTCTGATGTTGGACTTTTGACCAGTCAAGCCCTTGCGGCCACACAGGAATGGACCAAATGGTGAACAATTACTACGGCAGACTGTTCGGCTATACGTTGAAGAAGAAGGCAGGTAATCAATCACTTGAAACAATTTACCAAGGGTCATGGTGGATTTTCCATTGCTGGCAATTTTTAAAATAAAGATAGAATGTTTTTCAGAAGATATGCTCTAAGAATTATTTTGGGGGAAGTTTTACAGTGTGTGTTGTACAGGAGCTCATATTAGATGGTCAAAGTGGTCCATTCTTGCCTGCAATCTATGAATCTGTGTTCTTCTCTCCAGTTTTATTAGCCAGTTGCCACGTCAGCTTCTTCAGTTTCCAAAAATGCCTTTCCACGTGATTTATTTTCCTACTTTTGTTTCTTGTATTGTATGGTTCAAAACATCAAGCATTCCAGTTTTTAGTGTCCAACTCCTAGTTTTTAATCCTATCTTCTCGATGAGTTCCCATATTTGTTCCATATGTCACAGCTGGCAATGCTCAGACTGATCGCTCTTCAATATACTTGTCAGTCTCCCACAGCAGTTATTTGACTCTTCACTTTATTTTTCTGGTTGGCTGAGGCACACATATTAGTTGCTGATTTCTTCCATTTCAGTGTTCTGTGCTTATGCACTGAAATGTTTCTCCTTCAGTGCAACAAACAAGGAAAAACCGCATAAAATTGCTCATTTATAATAATCAGTATACTGCAGGTTCCTTCTGTCTTCATTCAAAAATCTCAAACACACAATGGATTGCCTCAACTATGCATCTGAAGATGCAAAGCCAAGGGGAGATAAGCCCAATTCAGAGAGTTTGCCCCAGTATATGCAGCAATGAACAATAGTGTCTATCACAAAGAAAAACACAACTTTTCTTTAAAAGTAAAATTTTGTAATTTGCTCATGCTGAAAGAATGATGTAATATAGCAGCTTCCCCTAAAACAGTGCTTCTCATCTTTATTTCGAGATTTAGCCTTAAAAGTCTTGGCCACCAAATATACATCAAAGAAACTCATGGTAATAGTCTTGATCTAACCAGACAGAGCAATTTGGACTTTAAAACAACATTATGATGAAACAGAATAAAATACTGGGAAAAACTCATCCTAAGAGAGATTCTCATGCTATGGTCTGCAGAGTACTTGTCGATTGTCTTCAGAGAGCCACCAGTCACTGGATGTTGGTTCATCCTCATCACCACCTGCTCCTGCAAATATCCAAGCTCTTCACCACAGAGGAGTTAGCATAGGTGTCCCTATTAGTGACTGCCTCTAGAGATTGAGGAGGAAAAGATGGGAACTGCTAGAATCAGTGCCACAAACAGGACTAGAGCCGCCAGTCAACAGCAGGGACAACTCTCCAACTACGGAGCTAGGCAGTAAACCCAGGAGAGCTGAGGAAGAAGATGATCAGGTGGCTGGGCAGCATGTTCAGAATAAAAAGCAGCCAAGCAAAAAGAGAAGCAAGTGCAGGAGGAGAAGGGAACCAGGCAGCAAAGTAGTACATGTTGGGAAGTAGGGGGAGAAGAACAGAACAAATGGGAGGAGATGAAATGAAGAACAAGGACAGTGGCATTAACTTTTCTCCAAAAAAGCACAAAATGCATCACATTAGACAGAAAAATACACTGAACACTTTCTTAATATTATCTTTGCCATGTAAGCAATTGCTGCTGTTCTCTTAGGTTTATGATGGATTGGAAATGGTAGGGGAGATGATTCATGCAATCCAGAACGGGCAGAGAAGTGGAACGGGAGACTCCTATTCTATGAAGATGTAGCCCACACTATGTAAATGTTTGAAAATGCCTATCCTAGAATTAGGAGTGTTCTAATATATCTTATTGCAATATGCATTTCTCGCTACATTAAGCCCCAATTTGCCTCCCCAGTGCCCCTAAGCTATGCACTAGGGATCTCTTTGGTCTGGAGGGAAGAATACTTATCAGCCCCCAATCTGTAATTGCTATTTCATCATAAGGGCTGGAATAGCTTCTGTGTTCCTCTGTCTGCAGTGGAGACTGCCTGGTGGATCCATGTAGTGGCAGAGCCACCAACTCTGCCCTAGCCCCTACACTCACACCTGTGATAATACACCCAGTGTCCCCTACACAACAGGGCTCCATGGTTCATCAGAAATGCACACACCTTTCACGGGCTCCCCAGATCTCACCACTGTAGATGTTTGCTAAATGGCATTATGTAAGCTAGTTGTCTAGCACATTCTGAAGTCAAAGTGTTTCTTTTATCCTCAAATAAATAAGATCCTCTTCCGCAGAAAACCAGTGCTCTGTAATGCACGATTGCACAAGTGTGTCCTTGCAAGCAAGTTACTCTTCTGTGGTCTCCTCTTTCATGGGTAGACTTTCACAAACGGACACCCAAATAAGAAGCCTAACTCCTATATTTGGACACAGTTTGGCACTCACTTTACACACACTAAGTGCCAATGCAATTTTCCAAATGTGCTATTTGGTGTTCTACTATGATGTGTACTCTAGAAAATTAAGCCCATTGTCAAATACAATGTGCTAGGGAAAAGAATTCTTCAGAAAGGAATTTTAATCATTCTGTAATAAATCTGATAATGACTAACTTACATGTTTTTAACTTGTCATTAAAATGCATGGCACAACAGTGTGGTCTGCCACTATACAGAT